CAGTCACGCAACAGCGGTTTAGGCATGGTGGATGCCATTTAAGAGGGGCAGCCGTCCATCCCGCGAGACGCGCTCGCAGGGACGTGGCTGTGTCCATGCGGCTGGGCAGCGGCTGCGTGGTGCCGGTGGCTTGTTTAGTGACTGAGTCGGCTGCCCATGACAGTTGCTTGCACACCAACCGCACCTTCGCCCTTGTGCTGGGTTGCGCCATGACCGCGCACGCGCGCACGGGGCACGACCCGAGAGGGCCTCTCCTGGACCACCGCCCTGCACATCCACCGTGCCTTCATGCCCGGTAATGCTTATGTCAGGCCGAACCGCACCACCACGCGTTACAACCTGTACGCATTGGGCGAGCATACACCCGTCGACTTGACATTTGTGCACAAGGCATTCGCCGCAAACGTGTCCGCTGCGCAGGACTGCGCGCCTAAGTTTGTTTGTGCATCGTATCCCGACCCATGCTTGCCAATACCAGCTGACACAGCATTGCGCTGTCATGCAGCCCCTTCCAGCATGTGCCTAGCAGCAGTGCTTTTGTGCTTGGTGACCACATGCTGCACCAACCGCTGCGTGGCTGCTTTTGTTGTGCTGGCTCATGGGTGGGTAGTTAAGCAAATCCCTGGAGCAATTCAGATAGCGTTCAACGCCAGGCTTCAATCATGGGGTTGGCAGCCATTGCAGATGTGGGCGAGGCGCCGCAAGCGGTCTGGGGTGCGAGCCCTGCGGCCTAGAGTGGTGCGGTTCCCCGAACACGCCTTCCGGGAGCCACGGCTTCTGTAACAACTTGTAAAATCTATACTTTATATTAAATGAGTACCGCGGAGGCCGGGCTTTGTGCTGACGTAGGTGCGAGGCCTCGCGGAGTTATGCGGGACCCCGAACACGCCCGCCCCTTCCTCTCATGGCCCTGGGAAACAAGTTGAAAATTAACTAACCCTTTGGGCCCGGCGGGGCGGGCGGCAGGGCCCTCCCTGAATTTATGTAAGTGCGGCGCGGTGCCCGGTTGGGTCGCCCATAGGCCCCCCAGGCCATGAGTCATGCTGTGATCTTGGTTGACTGGCCAAAGTCTCAACTGGCAACCACCAAAATTTAAGCAAGATGCAGGATTTGTAATTGACCCCCCGCACTCTCCAGTCTGTACTACCGTACTGAATCAACACCCAAGGTAGAGGGTGTGTCCAAATTTACAACAAGTACACAACACTGCAGGGAGATTGTATTCTCATAGCTATTCAGGAGTAGTGAATTGCAGCTGAAACGCCTGACACAGGCACTCGGTCCGACCAAGCTGCAAGTACGTAATTGCACGGTGCAGCAGCAGGATTGGCCCAGTGCAGGCGATTTGCTTGGCTCTGAGCACGTGCTGGATGCCAGCGCACACATGCGCGCTGACCAACCACATCCCAAATACCAGCGGCCAGGGATTTTTCAGGGACGCGCCAAAGTCCATGCTTGGCAGCAGGACAGCTTCTGGCGGTCACGCAGTGGCCGATTGTGTGTACAGCGCGCGTGCCCTGTGAAGACGTCGGTGAAAGAAAGTGTGGCACGCCACCAACAAACACTGCCCTAATACATACTCTACAAGTGCAATCAAGATGGATGGCAAGCAAGTAGCGACATTGATTGCATGTTTTGTGCACCTTGTTTGATTCAATTGCAATCGAAACGCAGCACCAACGTCTGCAGCTACCGCGCTGTGCCATCCAGACACTGGGCCTGCTGCACCATGTGCGGCTGCGTGCATTCATGCCTGGAGATACACTTCCACAGACAGGGGGCCAATCTCCCGAGCGCGCCTCAGCTTACAGCACCAGGAGGCCGGCAGCCACGGCCACCATGATTGGCGCCGTCCAGCAGCTCAAGGCGACGCCGCCCCGCGCGGCCGCGCCACCGGTCTGAATCTCCTGTGTTGGTCCATGAATTTGTAATGTGATGTGGCGGTTTGGCAGCAGCGCAATGCAACACAAATGTTTCGTGCAAGCCCACGAGTGGCTGGGCGATTTTAGGGTGCTCAGACAGGCAAACTAGCTCGGGTGGGATGCGCAGCGGCAGCGCGCGCACGCAAAGAGACATGCCAAATCCCTAGAAGACCAGGCAGGGCTCGTGCAACATCTGGCGCAAGCGAGGCCCCATACGCCCAGCCAAAAACAAGCCAAGTCCTGAACGGCTGGCCGCCCTCTCACCCCGGCGTCTGAGACGAGGATGCTGTTAGAGGCGGCGGCCCTCCGCTGCTCGGCGCTCTGCTCGCTTCCCCCTGCCCCCGGCTGCTGCCCGGTCTGCTCGCTGACGGCGAGGCCGGCCGCCAGAGCCAGGTCTTGGGGCTTGTCGCCCGGGTTCATAGGAATACCTGTTGGGAGGAGGGTGGGCGGGTTGGGTGCCATCAAAGACAGCAGCTCAACACTGCATTCCCCGAAAGGGGCGCCACTGTCGGTGCAGACAAGTGCCACTGCCAGGATGACAGGACGCCTCGCTCGCCATGTGGAGCCAGCTGCTTGCCCCAGGCCTGCTGCAAAAAGGTGATCCATTCGCTAACATGCGCACATGGCTGGTTGCCCCAACGACCAGCTCACCGTCGGGCCGCGGCACGAAGGGGGCTGCATCCGAAGGGGGCGATGGCGCTGGCTGGGCTTGTGCTGCCTGCTCCAGGAAGGTCAGGAGTATAGAGTGCAAAACGAGGATACGGGTTGCCGTTTTTGGAGGGCATGGCTGTTTGATCGGTATTCAAACTTCGTTCATTCTCGGGACCTTGGGGGGCGGCTGACCATGGGCAGCCGGCGACAGCGCTGTGGTTGTTAGCACGAGAAGGCAGGCGTAGCTGCCAGCAGGTGCAACAGCAGCGCTGCAGCCCTCGGAAAAGACGGCGATTGCACGACAGGCCGGGTATCTTATCACCTGCAGCATCCCCAAGCCAAGCAGGAGTATGCATGCGATTATGCACACGCGCCCAGCTGGGCGGCGGAGGCATGACACGGTCGCGGCGCTCTTTGCCGATTGCTGGGGCGTGGCTGCTGTAGGCCGCAGCTGCGCCCGGAGCGCATTCATATTGCGCTAGCCTGATTTCTTTGATGAGTGCGACTGGCCTAGGGCGCTTTTGTTTCGAGTTTGCCGAAATTGAGAGATGGATCAAGTGAGTAGTGTCGGGCTGGAAGCGTGAATGTATTGACTTGGCAATATGCAATGTCTTTGGCCGTTGCCATGCATCTAGCACGCGTTCAAGTCACCGCGTATCACTGCTGACGGCCACTGTCGCAGCTTCTGCCGTGTGTGAGAACTTAGCCGCGAGGACGTGATATATGATAAGCCTGATCGAACAGGTTGATCCCTCTCGACTAATATAATCATTCCAACCTTGGCTAATCGTGGAGCAAACGAGCAATGCCGTAGGATTTGCTTGACGGCGTTTGACGCTCAGGGATGGCCTACCGCGCTCTGCTGGACAGTGTGGAAGACGTTATGGACACATATTTTGAGCGCTGCAGGTGCGTGGTGCTCCAGCTACTCCTCGCTGCGTGCGGCGCAGTGTGCTCGCTGCGCGTTGTGCTTGCGCGTGCCGAAACCGCCCCTGCCGCCACCCGTCTCCTCAGGGCAGCGGAGGCCTTGCGACAGGCGGAGATTGAGGCGGCAGTGGTGCTGCAGTCCTCTATGCGTGGCAAGCTGCAGAGGGCCTACCTTCGCTGCCTGGAGTGCGTAACAGGGGGTGGTGCAGCAAAGCAGTGACGAGTGGCTGGTGTTGCGGCGTATTCTGCCGCCTCTGCGTTGGCTGCGACGGTGCAGATTAAGAGGATCCTTGTGAGTTATCTGCCCTTGAGATCCACACCTGCCGCACTGCCACGTGTTTTCGCCACCAGAGCGCATGTGGGCACAATACAGCGATTCTGGAGAGGCCACCGCGGGAGGCTGCGATTCGCGGCGGCCAGGGAGGCCAAGGACCGCGAGCTGCGACTGGTGGGCGGTGGCGCTGAATCGGCAGTGCCTGATGAGCGAAACACAAACTAATGCACGGGATCAGGAGCCATCTCAGAGGACATGTGGTGCGTGCAGCAGCTGCACATCAGCCGTGAGACAAGCGTGGGGCCTCGGCAGCTAGGGTGGCTGAACAATGCAGACATTGCGCTAGAAACGGCCACACGACCACGCCATTGTTTGTTCACCGACCACCCTCAGGCATATTTTTGCGCGGCGGCCACTGCGATCCAGCGGCGCTGGCGCGGATACTGGAGCCGCAAACACATCCACAGCTTTGCAGCCCGCAAGGCATACCTGTCTGCTGTCGCCCAGCAGAATGCGGCTGTGCGGCTCGAGATGGCCACCGCTCTTGAGGCCGAGCTGCTGCGCCGAGCAGGAGGCCGGCGGGAAACAGCTCGAGAGCTGTTCGAGCGCCAGATTGGGCAGCTGCACCACCTGGTGTCGACGAAATCAGTGCCTGGCATATTTAGCCCTCCGTTCGAGGGCGCAGCGGGGCTGTTGCCCGTGATTGAGGGCCAGACTGTCGAGGAGCATCTGCAGCGCGCGTGCCGCGCGCAGGTGAGACGATCGGGCGCGGCAAAACCATGGACCAGCTACGCAGGGACTGGCCTTCGCGCCTGGTTGCAATTCATTGTGCAGCGGCTGCCGGCTTGACGGGCTGTGCACACGTACGCTGCATCATTCGTACACCAAGTGTGATGCGCGCCGCTCTGGTGCAACACCGTGTACTATCCACCGCAACCTGCAGGTGGCCCCGGAGGTGCAGCGGCGCATGCATGCGGCAGCAGCGCCCGGCGCAAAGCACACGCGCGCCGCGCAGGGTCTCGCGAAGCGCGCCACGGGTGCGGGTGGCGGGCGGCCGCCGGTGACGGACGCGGGCAGCGGCGGCGAGGCAGTAGGCGCCACCGCAGGGGCAGCGGCGTCGGGACAGGCCCTGTGCCGCCGTGCACAGCCTGTCGAGCCCAGGCTTGCCAGCGGCCCGGGCAGCACTGTGCCCATTGTTCCCCCCGCGTCAACGCTGCGGCAAATGTCGCCGTATGATGCCGTGAAGGAGAGCGCAGCACTCGAGCGTCGCATCGACCGGGCGCAGGTAGGTTTGGTGCGGGTGGGGCCGAGGTGTATGATGAGCTTCCCTGGCATTGATCGACCATGGTTTCAGAGAGTCCGAAGCACAATTGAATGGTCCATCAGAAACCCCCTTGACAAACCGGCCTCCTGAACAATGCTCAAATTGCCTCGTCAGGTGGCGGTGCTGCACCGCCAGCCCTTCCTGGGCCCCTCAGCAACCATAAATGTACCGTTCGTCGAGTCCCCGTCGGTGCGCATCGCCGACGCGTTCACAGACCCTGTCATCGGCTCAATCCCTGGCGCACGCTCCGCCGCGCGGCCGCCGCGATGCGGCGCCACGGGCAGGCTGTTCGATGCGTCAGGGAAGCTGCGGGGATTCTTCGACCCCAGCCTGCGGCAGGGGTACTGATGGAATGGAGGCTCAGAGGCATGGCGAACTTGTGGCCGCCATGTTAGGGCCACCCATGCAATACTTTGATGGTGGTGCTATGCGTGTTGTAGGCTGACTTTGTCAACTTGTGTTGTACCGCCTCACTCACCACGGTCACCCACTGCTGTATCACTGTACTGATGTAACCACCAGAAGCCGCCCATAACCCAAAATCAGCGTACGACGCAAGAATGGTGTTGAAAGTCGACACAAAATATTTGCTTGGCAGGGAGTTCGTGGCTTCGTTTCTTGCAAGTGATCTCCCCTGAATGCGATCACATCCGCGCGCGATGAAGACATTCGTGGCTCTCTTTATATGCGTGGTTGCATTCACATCAGCAGTAAGTCGCACCCTTCGCATGATGCTTTGTCGGCTACATGCTATCATCAACAAGCGTTGGTTGACTGGTGGCTGCACTCCGTGCGGCGGCGCTGCAGTGCACCCCACCCACCGTCCACGTGATGCGCCCTGCGCCACCACTGCAGGAGCGGGCTCCTGCTCTTGCGCCAACAAAATTTGTTCAGTCCAATCTCGTTGGCGATTGGGCTGGTGAGCAGCTGAACAAACTCATCCAGGCAGGGTGTTGCGGGCTGTGCGTGCAGGCGTGCGATCGACTGCGCAGGAGGGGGGTGCGAGAGGCGGGGGCACCTTCAAGCAGCGACTGCTCACAGCAACCACTGCCCCGCCTGCCCTGCAGAATGTCCTGTCGTCAATGCTACAGAGTGGGACCTCACTGTCTTCAACTACACATGTGAGGCGCACAGCAACCCAAATCCCAGCAGCGCCAGCAGCACGGTTGTCAGCCTGTGACGCCCCGAGTGGCTTGCTGGCTATTGTTGGCCACGGTGCAGCAAGCAAACACCCCACGTTTTCACCAGGGATTTGATACAGTCACCACTCAGCCTTTCATGAAATTGGCCCTAAACGCTCGCATGCGCTTGCGCACTGGCGCGAATGCTCGGCCCAGCGCTCCGTCTGTCGCCGCTCGCTCCTCTTCCCCCACCACACCCCTCCCGTAGTTGAGTCCCTCACGTCCCTGTCGGAGCTGGCTTCTGCCAACCTGACTCAACTGTGCAGCGACAAGGTGCTGGGCCTCTTGAACTGTGCCAGCGACAACGAGGTGTCACTGGAACCGGCCGCGGTTATCAGCTCAACGACCTCTTTATCCACAACGAACGGCTGCTGCTTGGAGGAGTGCGCCGCAGGCATCAAGGAGGTGCGGCGTCAGCCAGCCTTGAGGTTGGGCCCTGCAAGCATCTTGGCAGGCGCACAGAAACAGGCTCACGGCTGCCCTGTACGGCGTAGCGAATGCAAACAATTGGACTGTTTGGGTCCAACTCCTGCGGCATTATTTCAAGTAGCAGTCAGAAGGGAGCTGATGCGCGTTCAGAAGCCTGCATTGGCCCTCACCCTAACCATACCTTGAGCCTGACTGGCTTGCTGGGATGAGGGTAGATTGATCAGGGCCAGGGCTTGTCGGATTCAAGGTGCGCAGAACTTACACAACCAAGGGCTGAAACAGCGGGATTTTGAGACATCGGCCTCATTGGCCAGCGTCCGAGCTGCCTAGTAAGCAGTGGAGAGCCTGTTGTTGCCCTGTCCCCACCAAGCCCACGCCAGCACCACTCGCCGCCGTCTCTGCAGGCCGTTGACAATGGGTGCTTTGCTGAGCTGTACCCTCTGATCTGCAAAGACCCTCGCGGCGTCAAGTTGCAGGCCGGCCTGTGAGTACACGCGCGAGGGATTGCGGCCCTCATTCTCAGGCTGCACCGAGGCGGCAGTTAGCATATGCTGCTCAGTGCTCATCCGGCGCTTGTGCCACACAGACGGTAGCAGCCAGATGCCGTGCAACATATTCTAAACGACCCTCTAGAGCACGCACTGGCCAAGCCGGGCCCCGCACTGCACTGTGCGCCCCCCTGCAACCCTGTCGCAGCTTCAATGCCGGCGTGCGCTGCGCCAACTTCACAGCGGAGTGCCCTGACACAAGCGCAGCCACAACAGCCAGCGGAGGCAGCGGCGGGTCAGGGGGCGCCCCGGCGGTGACCGGCGGCGCCGGCGCGGCGGCCGCGTCCGTCGTGATGGCGGTGGCAGGCGCGGCTCTCTTGCTGGCCCTTTGAGGAAGCGCCAGCCGAGCCTTCGGCCGGTCGTGCTGCTGCTGGCCCAAAGTCAATGCTTCGCCACTGGTTTCTGTGGGCGGATTGATCAAGCGACAGCTGCGTGCTGCGTGGTTGACACCACTGCCATCTAGCACGGGTGCGGAGCGTATCAACACTGTGATCGGAGTTTGCAGGGCTGGACATGTGCAGGCGTGCAGCACCACGCTGTCCAGCCTGTTTGCAGCCCTGCCACATCTTTTCAGCGACCCAATTATAAATTGCAAAGTGCTTAGTGCAGGGTGCGCTGTGTCCTCCCTACACTGGAGAAACACAGATTCAAATTTTTGCAAGGTGCGCACAACTCTTCAGTTCAGGGGTTGCTTACAACCACCTGTCTCCGGTTGGCCTGCACCCCTCTGCTGACACTGCCTTGACAGCCAACCAGTAGCACTGCACTTGAGGTCCAGCAGCCCGTGCTGCTGAATTTGTGTGTGTGTAAGTTGTCCCCATATAGTTGCCTCCATATAGTTGCACAAGGATGATGAATTGACAGCACATACAAGCAGGCACCACAGATGGCGGCGCCCAAAGGGTTGATGATGTCAAGCCTGTGGATTGCACAGCAACCTGCAGGGAACGCCCCCGCTGCTCAGCGTTTCCCGCTGCCACATATGCCGACGCCGCTGGCACAATCATCCCACTGATGCAGCGACGCACCCACCCACCACACCTGAGCGGCAGAGTTTTCATGCGTGAGGGGGAAGCCAAGGTGTGTGCAAATATGAGGTGGTGCAGGCCAGCTGGGCAATCAGCAGCTGTTGAACATGTTGCCCGTTTACATGGGAGCTGGAAGGGGCGAGCAGTGCCCATTCCAATAAAACTACCCGCGGCCTAGTCCTGCACCCACCAAATCACGCCATCACACGCACCTGCTTATGCTGTTGCAGAGCGTTCTGGACTACTGCAGTCGGGTTGCTGCCTGCCAAGCGACTGCTTGAATCTACTGGCCCCCTACTCTTTGCTGATGTGGATGCCTTGCCGAGGCCGAAAGTACTCCTGATTGATGCTGCCGTCGGCGTTGATCATGGCCTGTGGGCTGAACCGACGCCGCATATCTGCCGCCCACTGCTGGCGTTGCTGACGCTCACTTGCATCATCAGATACTGGCTGCTGAAGCTGCGGCGGCTGCAGCTGCGGCTGTTCCTGCAAGAAAATATTGCTCTCAGCTGGCGTGCCGTGCTGCTGCTGCTCTTGGCATTCCATTGAGGATCGGCGGGCCAGCAGAGCGCCAGCGGCCACCCGGTGCACGTGGTACAGCGCCCTGAGACTGCCCGCTACAGCCGGAGGTGCCTAGTTATGCACGCACTATGCCATGCGGCCATGAATGCCTCTTGCAGCTGCGTGACTTGATCACTGCCCGCCTTGACAAAAGAGAGGTGTTATCAGCCGAAGCGATATGTACAGCAGAACACCAATGCGAATTCACCAAATCCTTTGCACCAAAAGATTTCGTGATCAGCTAGGATCACGTTGATCTGTGCTTCTCGAACCTTTTTGATACTTTGTGAAGGTGGAAGAGATCAAGCCCATACTAGAAGGGTCCACGCCCGCCAGCTCGTCCCGCGCGCCAGCGTACCCACCCACCCACCCCGCACGACCAGGAGCGGAGCCCTCGGCAGCGCGGCAGCGGGGGCGATGGTGCTGGTGCTGTGCATCGGCGACCTGCACGTCCCGCACAGGGCGCAGGACCTACCGCCAAAGTTCAAGGAGCTGCTGAAGCCAAACAAAGTGGACCACATCCTCTGCTGCGGCAACCTCTGCAGCAAGGTGCGACGACGCGACTCAGCATTGCAACTGCGCATGCACTCCCGTGCCCTGGCTTGCCGTGGGCAGGGTGAGCACCTGCCTTGTCGGTTTTACCGACGGCGTGCGGCTGCGCACAGCGCCTTGCGCCGTCACATAGGCGGGCCCCTGCCGCCATGCGGCCGGGCCCCGGGGGGACCCGCAACGCCGCACACCGCAAGTCCCCTTTCCCGCCCCTTCTTGCCCTGTCTGGCGCCCGCAGTCGTTGCTAGAGTACCTGAAGGGCATCTGCGCCGATGTGAAGCTGGTCCAGGGTGACTTTGATGATTTTGAGGCACCAGACCAGCTGGTGCGCCTCGGCTCAGCGGCGCACTATCACTCCACACCCGGGCAGATGCCGACGCTCGGCCGCGCGGCGCATGTGGTTCCAATGGCAAGGCCCTCAGTCCAGGCTTGTAGCCGAGGGATGTCATTGGCAGCACGCTGGCAGCGGCGAGATTTTTTCAATCGCGGCCGGCCGCAGGGCGGGCGCGGTCGGCCGGCCTGACAGGGCGCCACCTGCGCGTAGCGACGAAGCAGCGCGCAAAAACGAGAGGGACCCCCTCGCTTTGCAGGCCCCGGCAGCTCTTGGGCAACCCCTCCCGGATCAACAAATTCGCTCGACCTGCAGGTGACCCAGATCGGCGACATCCGCGTGGGCGTGTGCCACGGCCACCAGGTGGTGCCATGGGGCGACAAGGAGGCGCTCGCCATCCTGCAGCGGCAGCTGGACGTCGACATCCTGGTCACGGGGCACACGCACGCGTTTGAGGTGGGGGCGCGCGGCACGGTGCGGTGCTGGGCAGTGGCGTGCGCTTTTGGGCGTCGTGCAGGGGTGGAGGCATACTTTGTGTGATTGCGTGCGCGTGTGTGGGAGGGGGGGTCAAGAGTCGGAGGAGGGGTCGGGCGGGGTGTGGCTCTGCATGTGCTATCTCTGAACTGTGGTTGGCGGGCACGCGTCCGTACGCTCTGCAGCTGCCTGGGCCACGCGGAACCCCTTTCCCAGTGGCGCCCCTGGCGCCCCGCCCCCCTGGCCCCCACCAGGCCGTGATGTATGGCGAGCGGCTGCAGATCAACCCGGGGTCGGCCACGGGCGCGTACAGCAGCCTCAACGCAGAGGTGGGGCCCAGCTTCGTGCTCATGGACGTCGATGGAGCAAAGGTGGGCGGCACATGACCCGCGGCCCTCAAGTTGGTTGAGGGCCGGCGGCTGTTGCTGGACGCCGGCTGCCAGCGCCATCCGCCTGCGCCAAACCCGTCGCTGCATTTCGCTGTGCGGCCGCTGTGTTTGCCCGTCCACAGTGCTGCTGTCTTGGCGCTGCCATTTCGGCCCTGCCGTCTCGGCGAGGCCAACTTTGTACTGGCCCCCTATTGCAAATGGCCCCCTGCCGCGGTCTCGCGCCCAACCCATGCCCCCTGCCCACGCTTTGTGCACCCGCGTGCCCTGCCTCAACTCGCACGCACTCTCCCGCTCACACCACCCTGATGCCTCAAGCCTCCCTGGAAATTACACACACACGCCTTGGTATTCTCATATCATCAAAGCCAGCCAGCATGCCAACATACGGTCTGCGTGCCGTAACGTGCCACCACAACGTGCATGCCGTGTCACCCACAACCATCATTACTCTGGGCTCTCTGCAACCCCCTGCGCCCCTCAACCAAAGGCGACCGTGTACGTGTACCAACTGGTTGATGATGCAGTCAAGGTGGAGAAAATTGACTACCAGAAACCGGGGGCGCCCGTCACCCTGTGATCTGAGGCGGCGCATGGCCGGCCGTGCGCCCGAGCACATGGTTCCTGAGGTTGCACGCAATTCTTTGAAGCGATGCCAATTGGCGCAGCGCGTGGTGTTGATTCCAATAATCTGTGATGCCTGTCCAGTGGATGAGTTGTGGGGGGTGCGGCATGGGGACAAGAACGGTGCCTCACAGCCATTCGGCTGGACTGCGGAGGGGTGCCTGGTGACATGGCGCCACCCGGCCACGATTGACGCCGTCAGCGCCGCGGCGATCGGGGCCACCGCTAGCTCCAGCATGTAAAACAAATGGTATGTGTCCGTGGACGTCAGGTGCGGCAGCGTGGAAGAGGCAGCCGGCAGCGCCACGGGCCCGGCCCTCCCCCACCACTGGAGCACACTCTGCGGCACAGCCCATCAGACCGCCCCTGTGTTCTTCTGCATTGTTCACTGTCGCGGTCACCAACACGCACTTTCAACAGTCCAATTCTCTCCTGTGTGCCATAAACACCATAAAAAGAGCTCAAATCAGCGAGCGCGCCTTGCAGCAGAATCCACCGCACGGCAACATGCAGGCCTCATTCGGCAGCAGCGTGACAAGGAGGGGATTGGGAAATGGTGGATTGCCACAGCGTCGCGCTCAGTGGCGGCCATTTGCAGGTGCGAGGTGGGATGCGGAGTCTCGCGGTCCACACACCGGCCCGCGCCCCTGCTCACGCCCAATGCTCTGATTGCTATGCTACGCTCTCCAGGCTCTAAGCCATCCCGCGGCAGCCTGGTGTGTGAGGCCAACAGCGGCACGCCTGTCCCCAAGAACAGGTGCGCTGCGGTGCTGCTCGCTCCCAGCCCACACAACCGCAGGGCGGACGCCCGACGCTTGCTGCGCTCCCGCAGCAGTGCAGTGCCGCATATGCCGGCATTTCCCGGTCCGCTTCATCCATGCACGTGCGCTGACCGCATACACCCATGCGAGCCACCCTCCAGCCACCTCGCAGCGGGTTGCGGCCGCCTGGCCCCTCGTTCAACCACCCCCTCCCCTCGATTCCGGCGCACCCGCCGCAGCATCCTGGTGGTGGGTGGCACCGGCACCCTGGGCCGCCAGATCGTGCGCAAGGCTCTGGACGAGGGCTACGACGTGCGCTGCATCGTGCGGCCGCGCCAGAACCCGGCCGACTTCCTGCGCGACTGGGGGGCGACCACCGTGCAGGTGCGGCTTGCCGCGCGGCTGCAAGGGCGCGGTGCTGTCACGGCGAGGAGTTCAGTGTGTGCAGCTGCGCCTTGCACATGTTGAAAAGACATCCGGGCTTAGAGGGCATCAGGGCTTATGCCTGGCACAGAGGAGTGCTCGTCAGTGGCCGGGCCCGTACTACACCCTGAGGATCGCCCCTGAAGGCGGACGCGCAACTTTGCTGTGGCCAGCCAAGCGCCCCTCGTCGGCCCGCGCCCCCTCCTTTCTTACCAGTAACCCTTGCGCCTGCCACCCGCCCGCCGTCGGGCCTCCTGCCCGCTCCCTGCATCGCGTCCACGCCCCCGCCCGCCCACACCGCACGCCCTTCGTC